CCTTAGTTTTGCTCATTGCTTTCTGAACTCTCATCCACAATAGAGAGAAAATCCAGGATATCCTGAAAGCCATGAATTGTCATTTAAAAAAGCCCCCCGCCTCTTGATAGGCCTATTTTTAGCCTTTATTATTCAGAATCTATCTTGACAAGTTATACATTAGATGACTTTAGGTCTTTAATTGTCTTGAATTTGTTTTTGTGCTGTTCTGCACTTGTCAGGGCTCTGGCACCATCAGACAACGCACCAGGTAGAAAACATTAATTTACTAGCGTGGGCTGAGAACGGGGAAGTGTATCTGTCTTTTCTCTGCCATTTTTAATGTGCTTTATCATGCTACTTGCTCTTTCTATATAGATTTGCATCAGATTGCATCCAATGTTACACAGTCTTGCTAAAGGCCTATATGAGTTGCAATATTTAGGCTTAAGGCCTGAGTGAAGAGTACTGTGGGAGTTCAAACGCACAAACCCAGAGGAAATGCTGCATTAGAAGTAAATCCTTAGCATTATTTTAATAGTCATCTGTTTTAATGTTGTATACATATTCTAAAGAATGTTAACACACAGTAAAAAGCAGAGTAACTCCATGGGGAGTTTTGGTTTCAACTGACAGCAGCTCGTAACACAGTACCTGGTCTTTTTAATTATTTTGAAAAAGCAAACACAGTTTTAAATTTTAAATCAGTATCGTGGCCTCTTGGCTTAAAAATAAAAGGCGGGGGGGGGAGACAGAATGATGTCAGAATGCATATAAAAGGGGTTTATTGAGGCTGCAGGGTATAGACAAGGATGGTCTAGCTCAGGGGTTCTCAAACTGGGGGTTGGACCCCTCAGGGGGTTGCGAGGTTATTACATGAGGGGTCGTGAGCTGTCAGCCTCCACCCCAAACCCCACTTTGCCTCCAGCATTTATAATTCAGAGGCTTGCTATGTGAAAGGGGTCACCAGTACAAAAGTTTGAGAACCACTGGTCTAGGCCTCAATGGTTCTTTAGCTCCCAGACCAAAACTCAGATTGATACAGAGTCTCCATAAATCCTGGCCTAGAATATGCAGGTGTGGAAGGGACTGAATATATATACACTAAATATATAATATTCCTTTAAACTAGCTTTCAAAATTCTGCTTACCATAATGAGTAAACTATCATCTTGAGAAGTGCAGGCCTGTATATTTTTCGGCCTGGGCTGGCAAATGTTCACAACAACTTTACCAGGCTGCCTTAAAGGGATTTTTGTGCATGTGCATGTCTCATTTTTTTCCCCTATGGTTCCTCTGAAGAGCAGAAATAAGGGGTGAGATGTGGGAAGTGGTTTGCATGCTTTATGTTTGTGCTCCAGTGATCCTGAATGGATGAAGGCTGGAATTGAATAATTGATGGCTATGTCATTATTCTGAGGTGAATGTAGACACCATCATAGGTCAATGATTTTTTCCTTAGGTTTTTGAGACCGCAACATTATGTACCAGGGACACCTACTATCATGTAATGGTGTAGTGTTGGAATGGAGATGGTGTTGTGTGAGGGAAGCAGATTAGGTAGTGAGTGCAAAGTGTTTGTTTCTTCGACGGAGTAAGCAGGGTCTGGTAATATTTTATTAGTTATTGGAAAGTAGTCATCACTGTATGATTTGTGAGACAATATCCCAAAATTGTGAGGAGAATTCTTATTACTGGTTTAGCATTCACAGGTTTTTGTGATAACTTATGGATGGGAGACTATAGAGATCAGGACTGTGTTGTCAGAGTTCTAGATAATTTTTATTCTAAGTTAATAAACATTCTATAGCTATCCTTGATAGTGATAGTAGTGTCTCCACCGACCTTGGTGTCCTGGGCGGTGGGTGCCAAATAATACCTCTCTCTGTTTTCTAGACTGGGCAGGGGGGATTGTACGTCTTAATATCAAAAAGCTGATGCTGGTTCCTGGTTGCAGGCCAAGTTGACCAAGAAGTCCCTTCACAACCACATTCTAACCTACTGGAAACTCATATAAAACAGGAAGGTGCAGGGACTTTCAGTCGGTAGAGATGATTTCCTTCAAGCAATTGCCGCTTGAAGCAAAGGCTGCAGTGGCTGCTGGAGTTGTCTTCTTCTCCATGATGATATCCCGGACCTTCCTGGCAGAGCAACTTGAGTTTGGCACACGGAGGTGGCTGCGGAGATTACAGATGGCATTGTTTGTTAATGCGCTGATGCTCATAGGTTCTCTTTACATCTGGAGATGTATAGTGACCACATTCTACAGGCTTTCAGCTGCTAACTCCTATTGTTTCATGCCATGGAAAATAGCTGTGCTAATGTTTCTAGGTTTGGCACACTCTAGCTTTTTTACACTGCTGTTTCTTGTTGCAGAAGAGCCATATTTCTTTTCCTTAGCTTCTTACACATGTCTAGGAGCCTATATAATCCTTATTTTCTTTCTCTTCACTCTGGGCTCTGTAGAGCAAGTTTATAAACTCTTGGTCAGCAGAGGTGTTAAGACAAGTGGTATCAATAAGAGTAATAAAGCTGTCATGAAACCTGTTTTGGTTGTTATGGTGACAGTTGCACTGACTGCTGTTGGGTTGTTGAATGCTTCCCAGCCTCCTGCAGTGACCTCAGTGGTGATTCCTCTTCACAAACTGCCTTTGTCCATGGACGGCCTGAAGGTGGTGTTGCTATCAGATATTCATTTGGGACCCACTGTAGGGAAGACTAAACTTGCAATGGTTGTGCAGATGGTCAAAGCCTTAAAACCCGATATCACTGTGATTGTAGGTGATCTGTCAGATTCTGAAGTGATGGCCATCCGACCTGCTGTCGAACCTCTTAGTGAGCTTAATTCCCCATTGGGAAATTTTTTTGTCACTGGAAACCATGAGTATTATACTTCTGATGTCAACAGCTGGTTTGAATTACTGAAGTCATTTAACATTCATCCACTCCACAATGAGAATGTGAAGATCTCTTCTCCAAGGAGCAGCAATGATTGGTTCTGTCTGGCTGGGGTTGATGATATTGAGGCTCAGGTGTTGCGCTATTCTGGGCATGGCATGGATTTAAAAAAAGCCTTAGTTGACTGCAGTGCTGATCATGCAATAGTACTTCTGGCTCATCAACCACTGGCTGCAAAATGGGCTCTCCAAGATCGGCCAGACATAAATTTGATCCTTTCTGGCCACACTCATGGTGGGCAAATATTCCCTCTGAATGCTGGTGCCTATTTGCTGAATCCCTTCTTTGTTGGCTTGTATAAAGTTGGGCAGAGCACTTTCGTATATGTCAGCCCGGGGACTATGTATTATGGAATTCCAATGAGGCTGGGCAGCAGAGCTGAAATAACGGAGATCATCCTGCGCTCTCCCTGAATGGTCTGTGCCAGCTTACAAATTCTGTCTCCTCTATCAGCCAGTAGAACTGACGGTTTGAGTCACAAGTCCCCAAGCCAAGTCCGTCCCTGATGTAACTCCGGGGAAGTCAATGAAGTTAGAAGAGTGATGGACTTGGTTCTGTAAGTCTGATTCTGCTCTTTGTGCAGAAAGCACTACTTCTTCTGCCACATAGTAAGCTTATCAAACACCTATCGCAGATGAGTGGAAGTGATGAACTCATCTGATTGATTTATTATTTGTGCTATTGATATGTTGCATTTTAAAGAGATCACCATGAGATCAGTGTTTGGTTTTAAGTGTGCTTACTGTGTATGTTTAATATCTGTAATCGGTCATTAGTTCACATTCCATTTTTCACTTGTTCGTTGGCATCGGATGGAGTGCCACCTAACTCATGATGTACAGTTCACCTACTGAGAAGTGTGGTGAAACTGTGGATGCAAATTTTGCAGAGTACTCTACAAAGTCTTCATTGAGGTCTATCGAGTCCTCCTACTATGGGAAATGAATGGGGTATTTGCAGGCGATAGCAAGGATTCTGTTTAAATTTTTTATGGGGGGCCTTTATCTCAGTTGGGGCCTGTAGGTGCTTCTGCAAAATGACCAGTAAAGTAAGGTGCCCATGCTAGGGTTGCCAATTTTGGTTGGACGTATTCCTGGAGGTTTCATCACATGACATAATCTTTAATTAAAGATTCATTTTTAATTCCTGGAGACTCCAGGACAATCCTGGAGTGTTGGCAACCGTAGGCCCTATGCATCTGCTCCTTTAAAATCTACATAAAAACCTAAATCATAAGAATTGGAGAGACTTTTATAGTGGGGAAGGGTGGAAATAGCTTCCTTGTTTTGCCTAAATGTAACCAGTCATCCAGTGAGTATCTAATAAAGGTATTATAAAGGGACATTGTTAACTTAAAACTCCCACTTCAGTGTGAGTGTTCAGTACTTTACTGTTGGTATGAGCAACACTTACGCTATGTTTACGCTAGCCCTTTTGTCGGTAAAACTTTTTTGTCAGCCAGGGGTGTAGAAAAAAATACCCCCGACCAACATAAGTTTCACCGACAGAAGTGCCGGTGTGGATAGCTCTATGTCGGCGGGAGATGCTCTTCTGCTGACGTAGCTACCGCTGCTTGTTAGGCTTGGTCTACACTAAACCCCCAAATTGAACTAAGGTACGCAACTTCAGCTACGTGAATAACGTAGCTGAAGTTCGAAGTACCTTAGTTCGAACTTACCTCGGTCCACACGCGGCAGGCAGGCTCCCCCGTCGACTCCGCGGTACTCCTCTCGTCTAGCTGGAGTACCGCAGTCAACGGCGAGCACTTCCTGGTTCAACTTATCACGTCCAGACAAGACGCGGTAAGTCGAACCCAGAACTTTGATTGCCAGCCGCCGAACTAGCAGCTGGGTATAGACGTACCCTTAGGGGTGGTTTAATTAAGCTGATGGGAGAGCTCTCTCCCGTCGGCATAGAGCGGCTACACGGGAGACCTTACAGTGGCACAGCTTACAGTGCACAGCTGTACTGCTGCAGGTGTCTAGTGTAGATTTAGCCTTAAAATCTACAATTGAAAGAATTGGAGTGGAAAAACTTTTTTCCCCAGTTGTATTATTTGGGTAGGTTTAGCTAGCTTCTTTCCATTGTATATAGTTAGTTTCTCCTTTTTGTTTTGTGTAGGTATTTTTTACTCAGCAACTGGGGAGAGAGAGAATTTAAAAACAAAGTAGCTGTGACTCAAAAGAAAAGGTACTTAGATTGTAAATTAATATTTTCCCTTGACCAGAACTAGATTAGATAGCAAGTACAGTAGAACCTCCGAGTTATGAAAACCTCGGGAATGGAGGTTGTTCAAACTCTGAAATGTTCCTAACTCTGAACAAAACGTTATGGTTGTTCTTTCAAAAGTTTACAACTGAACATTGACTTAATACAACTTTTAATACTATGCAGAAGAAAAATGCTGTTTTTAACATGTTTTAAGTGAAACAAGCACAGAAACCATTTCCTTACCTTGTCAAATCCTTTTTTAAACTTTCCCTTTATTTATTATTTTTTTTAGTAGTTTACATTTAACACAGTACATATGGTATTTGCTTTTTATTTTTATGTTTTGTCTCTGCTGCTGCCTGCTTGTGTACTTCCGGTTCCAAAATGAGGTGTGTGGTTGACTGGTCAGTTCATAACTTTGGTGTTTATAACTGAGGTTCTATTGTAACTTCTGTTTGTGTATAGACTTTCTAGTGGCCTGACCTCTAATTGTTCTGCTTAGAAAAAAGATGGCCTTCTTTTTGTGCCTCTCTTTAAAGAGCACTATCTTGCGTTTGAATCCGTACTTCAGTCTGGTATGTTTCTTAGTGCAATTTAATATAGCTAAATTATTAATTGTTTGGGTTTTTAATATAAATTAAATCAGATTGTTTTTGGTTCTCTCACATTGTTCTAGGGCATGAGAATCAAAAATTGAAGTGGAATTAATTTGTACTTGCTGTCCAAGCTGACTGAAGTGCAAAAATAAATAAGACTCTTTTTTTCACTCTTTCCCCAGGTGTACTAATCTGAGATGCTATTAGTAATTATGGCTATGGGATTTTTAATTTTTTAATCTGGCAGTGTCCCTTTAACTCTTTAACCTGATACTGGATTCTCTCTCCTCATATAAACACTGTCTAGCTGTTTCTCTACTCTGTTCCCACCCACCAAAACTGTGCACCCTCTTGTTCTTGACAATTGGCTCTGGGCAAATCAACATCTTTATTAAATCTTCCTGTGCCTCTGTCTAACTCAGATGGCCCCCGTTATTGGGGTGTCTGAAACACCTCACAATCTTCCTCACATCAACCCTGTGAGAGTAGAGACGTTCTAGCAGATGAGGAACAGAGACAGAGGAAACTTGTGGCAGAGATGGGGAATTGAATCCAAGTCCCAAGCTAACCCCCTAACCACTGGACCACTTCTCCCCAGTTTCCCAATGTCTAAAACCGTGATAATACACTGCACTTTCACAAAATGCTTTGTATTTATGGAGCACCTTTCATTTGAGGATCCCAAAACATAACTTGACCCCCATACATATCATACACTTTGTGTGTGTGTATGCCTTATGTTTCTCTGACTGCTCTTTCCCTGGTTGACTTAGTGTTGCTGCTACCTGACCAGCATGAGTTGTGTAGATAGCCCCCAGTGATGTGTCAGTGAAAGACCTGAGTTAAAATCCATGTCTCCCACTTGGTAGTGCAAAGCATTCTCTCTTGGCCACTTCTTTTCTAATCATTAAATTATTTGAGGATTATTGCTATGTTATGCAGCTAATTGTCTAGCTAATTACCTTCCATGGGAGGTGGGCACTGTGGTTTGCTTCAGTGTCCGTTTCTCAGTGAGCACGGAAATGACAGTTTATCTCTATTCCTCTCTTGCCCTTCCCAAGAAAACACAAATGTGCACAAAAATCAGTGTGGAGAATTGACTCCTACCACAAATAAGCAGGTGATTTTAAATTGTTCTGTGAATATTTTGACCATTTTTCATCTATTTTTGTTGTCTTTAATTGTGACTATTTCTTTGGGGTTTAATTAAATATTTTTGTTGTTCTTGATTTCTTTTCTACTAAAATGCAAAATTATTGAAAAGGCTACTCGGAGCGCCATTGCAGCCATACCCAAATCCTACGATCACTTTTTGTGAAAATAAACCATATACATTGGAGAATCAATATGCATATTTCTAAATCATAGTACTGATATAATGAATGCATTGAACACTAAGATTGTTACTGTTCCAAGCAATTAATAAAAAGTTAATATTGTTCACAGGTGGAGACAAGTGTCTTTTGTAATGATCATTCAATTTGATTTTTTTTATATTCCTGAGTGCAAGTGAAAAGGAAATGTCACTGTATTAAACCTGTGTGTAACATGGAACATCCAGGCTGGGAACAGTGAGTCCAGTGTTATCAGGTTGGGGAAATGAGTCATGTAATGTGATTGCAGGGATGGAGATGAGGAATATTAAAGATGAAGGGGAGGGAGAGCAGAATGTATGAGTGGTTCTTAGTTGGGTTTTATATTTGAGTGGTGGTGGTGGTGAGGACAGGCTGAGGGGGAGTCTGTCTGTTGTTAAGGAGGGGATCTAATGTGTTGTGCCTGGAGTGGGATCATATGTTGTATGATGGTCATAAAAAAGATGGCTGCATCCTCTTACCACACCTCCGAGGGTTAAACAGAACAGTAGGAGAGGCAGATGAACATGGACATGTTTATTTATATGGTAGGGGCCATATCCTGCAGGAAAAATTCCATGGACTTAAATGGGAGCTATGCCTATGTAAGGACTATAGGATCAGTACCTAAGTAGTGGGTCCCCATTAAGCACACAGACTTGACTGCAATTAATTCCACATGGCATGGGTGGTGCCACCAATAGTTAAGATTGCCTGACACTGCTTTGATGTGCCTCAGGCTGAATTTTTTGAGAAAACTTCAGCTCAAACATGTCCGGGAATGAGGTTGGGGAAAATGTTTTACACATGTTTAAAAAAATTGTATGACTGTTCAACTGAGAAGCTCTTGCAAGTTCATTCTGTGGAACAGGGTCTTGAAATTTGACAGGGGCGTTACCCTGGTGCCAGCAATGTGCCTTTTGTTTACACATGCTCAGTAGAGACCTGTGAGTTTGTCTGTTAAATTCTCTGACGATTCCATCCACACTGAGTATGATGCTCCACCCCAGGATCTGAGCAGCTCTTAAACTGTGATGCCAGGCACCAGAACTGAGAGCAGAGAGACTGCCTCTCCTGTCTGCTCAGTGCTCCCCCTGCTTGGCACTTAAGCAGGGAGGAAGAGAAAGAGAGAGCCTCTGACTCGTGAAGAACAGGGTGTGGGGAAGGTTGCCTGGGGCAGGCAGGGGAGCAAGGAGGGGACAGGAGGCAGGGGATGAGGGGATTGCAGTGACAGGTGAATCAGCTGGGGGTGGGGGAGAGGATTCGGGCAGAAGGGTTTAGAGCGCTACTTCCTAAAGAACCTGAAATTGGACCCCCATTATTTCAGAGTTTCAACATTCCTTTGCTATGTAGCAGGCTGTGAAATCTACTGGTGGAATGTGTCTCCAACCCATCTAGTGGCAGGACCACATAGAAAATAACAGCTTTCTACTAGTACCAATTAATCCATTAGCTCAAGTGATAGAGGTCTGTCTGTGTCTCTAAAAGTCCCAACCCTGCAGATAAAATGGGGTGGTGGTCAGTATGGTTCTGTACGATTGAATTTTTGTGTTTTTTAAAAACTTAAAGTACAAACAAAAAACTGTTAAATGAGGCAGAAGTCCTGTGGAAAAATATTATATGATCCTGCAGGGTGGATT